TTCTGGAACTTGTGCTTTGTATGTTAGAGAAATGGGAAAATATGAAACAAATGGAGTGAGGAATATAGGAAGTGAGTGAATGGCATCTTGCTTCATGTCAGGAAGAATAAGCCATTTGTTCTGAGCATGGAAAGAAATACTTGAGTTGCGTTTGGAAAGTCAAGAATTGTGTCACAGCAAGGAAGTAGTCTGGGGCCCTACACAGCACAGTGGTTTTCAAGCTGTATTTCTAGAAGCTGTGGCATTAGTTGGAAGCTTACTGGAGGTTCTCTAATCAGAAAACAAGCCATTCTGAAGAAGTCAATCAGTTTGCCCTTACCAGTCTTTCTTTACAATATGTAACTGCACTGTAGTGAAATGTATGTTGCTGAGCAAAGGACAGTTCTTGTATGTCACCAAGGAAAGGACAAGTTTTGATTTATTTGAGAACACTTCAATAAAATAGTTTATCTTTTTGCAATTAGTGAAATGTTTTTGAAGTCAAAGTGCCCTAGTTCTGCTGTGGCCATCCAAATATGCAGGAAGCACAGTTATAGCAGAAGTGTGTTAAGATGAGAATAAGGCTGATTGATAATGTCCTCCTTTTTCTCTGATGATTCCTATGTGGTTGTTAAAATTAATTCACTCAGGGAAACCCAGCTTCCTGTGTGCAATTTCACAGTGGATCCATACACATTTTTTCCTCCCTGAGTTGTTTGTGACTGTTGCTATATAAACAGAGAAAAACGAGGAAGAAACAAAGTAAATTATGTAGCTTTAAATTCTCACATTAGATGTATCTCAGTGTATATTTTACTGAAAGGCATTAATGCAGTTACTTTTTAAAGCAAATTTCTTCCTTTGGGAATAATTAATGCTTCCTGAGACAGAAAAGAGAACACTATTCATTTATAGTTTATATTCTGAAACCGGTTCATTGCCCTCAAGGTTGGATTTTGTTGCATGGCAGTATTTACAACAAAGTCCGTATAAAATACATTTATAATAGCTCGGGCTCCCAAAGGCTCAGTCGGAAAAAAGCAGAAAGAAAAGAAGGAAGTCTTTTTCTAAGTAATTTTGTTCCTATTCATAATTGTGGAAGTTGCATACATTTGTTTACACACACAAAAATTCCTGATGCTCAGAACTGCCTTATGGGTTCTTTGCTGCACATCTCATGAAAATGCTAAAATAGCATTACAGTGGTGCCTCGACTTACCAATGTCCCGACATATGACCATTTCAAGTTGTGACCAGCTCTGGCCGCACAGTTTTGCTTCGACTTGTGGCTGAAGCTTCGAGGTGCAACCGAAAAAAGGCAGGGGGAAAAGGCGGGGAATTCAAATTTGCTAACCGTTGGTAGGCAAAGAGGCTGTTTCTTTGTAGCTTTTTCGCCTGGGGTTAGAGTGAGTGTGTTGGAGGAGGCTTCGGACTGCCTGGAGCTGCTTTCTGCTCCTGAGTAAGTACATTTATTTTGTTTTGCAGGGCGGGTTTGGGTTTGGGGGTTATGTTTCTGTGCTGTGATGTTTTTTGTGTTTTGGTGTTTTTTTTCCCCCCAGCCACATCATGTTCTGATGGGGCCAGCTGTGTGTGGGGGGGTTGTTTTTGTGTTTTTTTTCCCAGCCACATCGCGTTCTGACGGGGCTTGCAATTTGTGTGTGTGTGTGTTTTGAGGTGTTTGTTTTTCGGCCACAGCACGTTCCTATATGGCTTGCAGTGTTTTATTTTTATTTTACTTTTTTTTTGGTATTTATTTTCTACTGGAATGGATTAATCATGTTCCAGTGCATTCCTATGGGAAATGGTGCTTCAATTTACGACCCTTTTGAGTTATGCCCATCTTCTGGAACGGATTATGGTCATAAGTCAAGGCACCACTGTACTTTTTAAAAAAGTTATGATGATAATAAAGTCATACTCTTTTTGCTTAGAACATATATTCCTTGGCTTTCTGAGCTCGTGCTGGAATTCTACACCTACTTTCCTGGGAATAAGCTCCACTTGGGTCAGTAGGATCTATATCTGAGTAAAAATGCACAGCATTCTGCTGTGCATTAATTGATGTGTAGTGTTAAATATGCATATTTACTCAACAAAATTATTTAGAAAATGAGAACAAAGACAGTATCCTTTTATTTTTGAAACATTAAGGATAAGGCAAAAACATATGAAAACTTTTGCTTCCCCAGTACTGTATCCCACTTATGTCCTCTATTGGATCACCCAGACTTTAAATCTCATGAGAAATGTGTACGATTTAAACATTGGGAACAACTTGAAATACTGTATATCAAATTAAGGATTTACAGTATTTGAATCAGGGGAAGCAGTTGCTGCTAGACAAATAGAAGAGAAAACAAAGCAAATAAGAACCAATTGGCTACAAATAAAACAAATAAGGAGCTTTGCAATACAGTTATATCAGAAATCTGGCCCTATAAGACCATTAACAGAATTTGAACAATACTGTATGCAAAAAGATACAAATAAAAGGACAGGATTGACCTCATTAATACAGTATATAAATGTATTATTGAGAAAAAACATGGTAAGGGTAGAGGAGCCAAAGCATTCTGGAAAACAAATTTAAATATTAATATACCTGAGGAGGTTTAGACAGGAATGTGGAATAAATAACCACATCGGTATCAGCTAAAATGAAAGAAACAGTTCTGAAAGTTGTTCACAGATGGCATCTATACCCTACAAAGCCACATAAAGTCAACAGAGATATACAATATCAGATAAGTATTAGAGAAAATGTGGACAAAAGGAAATTTTGGAACACATGGGTTTTTTGCCAAAAAATAGAAGCATTTTAGCATGAAGTAATCAATTGGACAGAAATACTGACTACGGTAATCAAAAAATAATCGCGATTGAAACATTAATGTTATTTTTAGCATTTGCAGGGAAATTAGAAGCTACTTAATGAAGACCTAATTGCAAATATTATAGGTATGGCAAGGTGTGAGATTGCTAAAAGCTGGAAAAATGGCCAAGGTCTTTCATTGCAGACATTTTTAATGGGATATGGTAAACGCTCTTCATGGAGGAATTAACCAATAAGATCAGAATATACAGAGGATAATTAAAGCAGTCAGTTTTTCAAAACTTGGAAATTTTTATTAAAATACACAACTGAACTAAATGAGAAGTCACATGATTTAGGAAATAATATAGATTCTTTGATTGTTGGTCGGTAACGTTCTAGGATGAAGTGGGGATTCAAGATTAAGTGTAATTTTGTTAAATGATGTGAATAGCTAGTATTTAGATCGTTAAAGTATTTAGTAAGTAAGATTAATAGTTAATTGTATTACAGTATTTGTTTGTAATGTGATTGATTGTCTAAAATAAAGTTTTTTTGGGGGGAAAGGAAAAAACTGATGTGTAGTAAGTAGCCATTAATAAAGCACAGATTTAAGGCCCAAGGTATACATGAAACTCAAAATGCACATAGCATACATTTTAGAAGGAGGGGAAATAGGGCTCATAATTATTTAGATTTCATCATGCAGAATAGGGAAGTTTGACTTTTTCCATCATTGCTAGACCTCTGAAGAAATAAGTCCTTTGATTCTGCTGTTTACTTTGGGAGGAAATCCTTCATTGCCTCACATGTTTTGGCTTCACTTAGTGCATTGATTCATTGCCACTCTAGGAAGTGGCAACTGACTCTGTGAATCCCTAAGATCAAACATTGTTCTGTGCCCTTTACAACCTGTCCCCAGCTGTCCCAATTCTTAAATAATTTTTCTATACTATTTTGACAGCTGAAGCTCTTGTACAAACCCACACACTCTGTCTACTCTCCCAGTGAAAGGATGTGGCTTACAAGGTGTATAAAAAGAAGAGCCAGGCTTACAGTGTTCATTCACATTGCTGGAAACTGCATACATAGATATTAGAGTTAGAAATGGACTAAATCCATAGCAATAATAATTTCAAGTGTTGCAAAAATGACCTAAAGAAAATATGTTATCTTTTTAATCTGCTGTAGACTTGTTTTGCCTTCTTATTTGAACTGCATGAACATTTGAATTACAGTAATTGTCTGTTTGCATTGTGCAAATGTTTAATTTAATTGACACTGAACCTTTCTTTTGGCAAGTCCTGCTACTGCAGTATAAAGCTCAGTTTTTCATTTTTCATATAGCAAGATGTGTGTTTGATGGATTTCATTCTGTATTTTAATAACCTGGACCCACATTAGAAAAATGGGACAAGTTAACAGCTATTTATTTAAATCATATTAATTTCACTGGGACCTTGTTCTATTTATTTTATTTTATTTCTGAATATTTAATTAGATATATAGACCTTTATTATTTATTTGCACACAGGCAGTGCAATCCAAATCCAAATAAAAGTCAGTGTGGCCCCTACTTTGTCTGTAGTGGGTTTGGAATGGGCCAAAACCTCCTTGTGCTGGCACAGGCCCCCTTAAGGGTTGCTGACTGATCTGAGATCTGTTGGCACAGCTGCTGAGCTAGCTAGGATCTGCCAGCAGTAGAGTCAGAAAAGAAGAGAACTTAAGTTATGCCAGATCCAAACTCATATCAGCCAAGATTCATAGCTATTCTATTGAGATAATGTTAGACAGGGTCTGGGTAATAGTCCTAAGTAATTTCCCACAGACTCAGCTGATCTAGTGTCTTCTTGGTTAGTTAAGATTGTGTCCCCACTCTATTTTAATATGCTCGGGTAAATAATTAACTGTTTTTGCAGAATCTTTAGATGCAACAGAATGTTATTTAATATTATTTAATATTAATTCATACAATATCTGGAGAGTTTTCAATTTCTGTCAAAATATAGGCCACAATATTTATGTCTGAAGTTTTTGAAAAATGCTAAATGTATTTTACTATGCTGTAAGGCCCACTTAACACCATGGAACTTACTGGTTAGTAAATATGTGTAAATCAGACTATGATAATATATGCATAAAAGATAAATTAGATGAATTTAGGATTGGAGCTCTACTTTATGTTTACTAACAGCACTTATAATTGCAGGTATCTTTCACAACGCTAGAAGATTTGGATCATTTTTGCTTCTGCGCAGTGTCTGAAACTCAAGAGCAAATTTGGACGACGTATTCAAGAGAATTATTTCTTTCGATTTTTGGGGGTTGAAATTCTGCATTTTACATAAAATATTTATTAAGACTGGATAAAGGAGGCACAATACTTCTGGTCTGAGATACAGTATTTCAGTATCTCAGTACATTAATGAAATGTGAACAATTTGCTTTAAATAAGCCTTGGACATTACACTGATCATGTTACCTTTTTCAGACATCTGTCCTAGACTGATTGACTGTAGAAGCTTTTTTGACATAAAATCATGAGAATGGATTGCTCTTACAGAACTGGGACATTTTCATCACAGTGGTAATTCTCTCTGTGTGTGCATGTGTGTTTGTGTGATCTGAAAGCAGATAACGTGATTGTTGTCTTAGTTCAGTTCACAGTGTATTTAAAGTTCAAATTATGGCAGCAACCTATAGGCGTGTAGTAACAAAGGTGAATTGTTACAATAGTGTTGTGATAGATTGCCAGCTTCAACATGCTGTGCATTACTGCACCGGGGCATGCCAGACATTCAAACAAGGAATTATGTGCATAGTAGCTCACCACAGTGTTTGTGCAGAGCTAATTCAGGTCCCCACCCACAATCACAGAAGTCCAGATCTGACCCATAGGCTTTCAGTGCCTGAAAATTCCCTTGCTTTGACTGAGGATGAAATCCTTCCTAGTAATCCAAGATTCAAAAAAGGGTGTTCAGTTCAGAGCACTGGCAGTCTGAAGGATATTACTGGAGAAGCTATAAATCTTGCTAGTGGGAAAATAAAAGAATTTTCATTTGAAAAACTTAAAACCCCTTCCAATCAGGTAAGCTATAGAAAGGGAAGAAAAGTCAAGTCAGATTCATTCAGTAGAAGATCACTGGATTTTGACTTGATATATGGGCATTTCAGCAACGATGAAAATTCTCCCCCTCCATTTGGCCTGTCACGTAATTCCTCACCTGAAAAATGGCACATGAGAAGCATCTCAGTAGAGGAAAATTCTACGGTTACATCACTTGTGCAGACTTTCTCGGAGGACAATTTTATTACACAGATTTTAGAAAAGCACAAGCTGGATGGTTCTTCCAGTGGCGATATTAAGATGTGTTTGGACATCTTGCTGAAATGCTCAGAGGACTTGAAGAAGTGTACTGATATAATAAAGCAGTGCATCAGGAAGAAATCTTCTGGTGTTATTAGTGGAGGAAATGAAAATGATTCCTTGGCCAGTTCTGAAATTATCTATAGGAATTTAATGACAAGATTTTCTTCTTACCTTAAAAAACTACCTTTTGAACTTAGACAGCCTGGGTTCACTGAGCCTGGTGACATGGTAGAACTGATTAACAGTTTGTCTGCTTTTCAGCAATCCAGTTTCTCCCCAATATTTAGCAATGAAGAGCCACCTAGATATGAGGATGTTGTATCTTCCCCCTCCTCTATGACAGGGCCGCTGTTTCTTACAGACTTACAAGGTAACCTGAATAGCACTGATGAAAATTCATTGGCAAAATCCACCCAAGTTCACACTGTAAATGTTTCCTCAAGTGCTTTGCATGTCAGCAACCAGGACAACTTGAGATCTAAAAATGATGCTTGTACACTACCTCAGTTATTATCTATAAATCCTCCAGATTGCATTTCCCCCAGAGAAGCTCTACACATTGTAGAAGAATCAGATAGAGAAAAGGTATTAGGAAGTGTATCAAGTAGTAAGACTAGAGGCATACAGGAAAATTCTGAGAACACTCATCAAAATGCTGAAAGGACAGTTTCTGTTGTAGATCCTACTAAAACATCACTTGCCTTAGCACATCCTCTTACATTGGCCCAAGCCTCCAACCTAACAGCCTCCCCAAGTCAAGGCTTTGATTGTACTGTTCAGACTTCTAAAGAACAATATAGAAAAAACAATCAAGAAGAGATAGATAAGCTTCTGATGGATTTGGAACATTTTTCTCAGAAAATGGAGGCTACTCTGAGAGACACTAGTATTAAGCAGAGTGATCCTTCTTGTTTAAAGACTGTTAGTCCATCTGTTGACAATAAAGGGAAAGTTTGTTCAACTGCAGACAGAAGTGCTTCTTCCTCATTATCAAAACTTATAGAAAGCAACGGTCATAAAATGGAGGAAGAAGATAAAACCCTCTTGTTGCGTATCCTGGAGAGTATTGAAGATTTTGCTCAGGAACTAGTAGAATTCCGGATGGGCAAAGGAAGCTTATCAAAAGAAAAAGAAGTAATGCACATTCTTCAAGAAACATTGGCCATTCCCTCCATAACAACTATCCAGCAGAGCTGTACAAGCCCAGCTACCAAAGAACCCATACCAGCACTAATTCAACAGATGCCAGAAGTTATCAAAGTAAGTTTGCAGATCTTGTCACTTAACTGTTAAGGATAGTGTGCACGATTTGCATTACTGTAGTTGAATATTGTTACTGCATAGAAGCTGATAAACAATGTTTGCACTAGTGTTTTTTATTCTATACCCCAGGGGTCCCCAACCCCCGTGCTGGTCCGTGGGCTTCCTTGAACTAGGCTGCGGACACGGATCTCCAGCACCCCGCACGTGTGCACGGTGGGCGCGTCATGCTTGCGGGTGGGCGTATTGCATTTGTGCGCATGTGCATGAGCATGACACGCCCCTCCGCAAAGCGTGACACACCCACCCACGACCATACGCGGGTTGGGGATTGCTGCTATACCCTATATTGTTAAAATTTGCCACCAGTCCAGACTTCCCACTGTGTGTTGATATGGGAAAATAACTGTGCAGTTGGCATGTTGAAAAGTTTCCACCAAGCCTATCTATAGATATGTTTTTAACATAGTTAGAAGTGTGGTCTTTGCCCATATATGCTCACATATTATGTCCTGCCAGGTTCTAATAAAACCAATTTTGCAGGCCTTTGTTGTGCTTCATATTTTGGAAAACATTAAACAGTTTCTAGAAGTGTGGGCACGAGTGTGCTGTGTTCAGTCTGGAGTAACTATAAGCTTTGATTATATAACACTATGTGCCATTGTTCTTTAGCGCTTGGACTGTGATGTGATTTGTTTCTGAAGTTATTAAAATTAATCAAGTTATTAAAATTAATCAATTAAAGGGCAGATGCATACCCACCTGTGATCAAAACCTTTTAAAAATTAAAAAAACCCAAATACTTTTGAAGTGGAAATACTGATTAGACTTTGCTTATTTGGTTTTAGTACAATTTTATACCTTTAAATGGTTTGAGACTAGAGCACATGATAGAATGGTGGGGGGAAGGAGTTGAATGTGTAATTTCTGTGGAACAACTTCACAGGCATGTCCCCTGTTCATCTGTTGTGATTATATAGTCATCAAGCTTCATTAGGATTACTGCCTTGAAGTCGTATGCTTCATAGCATGGTGGGGAAAGTTATTTTTACAGCATAATGCGAATAATAATCCATACAGCCACAAATTTGTGTATGAAAGAGATATCAGAGATATCAGATTTTGGAAAAAAGCCAAACAAAATTATATTGGTACATACTATGATTAAAAAAACATTAAACTGGGTTTTCAAACTAGTTTAACATTTAACATAAACGCTGAAATCCTGTTGCTGTAACTTATGTGCCTTAATGTTGGCAATGTCATCAACAGTGCTGATAAAGTCATTTTGACATTGGAAGTTTTTAGTAAAGGCTTCTCTTTCCTGTCACATTAACCTAATGGCTTCCTGATGATGAAGGGGATTGTGCAAACATCTCAGAGCGTTTGGGAGAGAAATTGGAAAAGTTAATAAAAAAAATTATTGATAATCAGCCTTACATTATATAAGTTATGGCAACAGGATTTCAGTCTTTTGGACATATATTAATTCAAACTGTATTTGCCACTTATATTTATCTCCTAAAAAAGAGATCCTGGTTAGTGGTATCAGTTAGTTTCTCTGCCTTTCTGACAGGTATTCTTTCTAATACGAAGGAAAACAAACAATTTCCAGGATGTACAATGACAAAATACACACTTTTCCAGACTTGTATGGAGTTAAATATTTTCCTTGAATATCTAAATTTCTTTTGTTAGTGTTTCCATTCCTGATCTGGTTGGGGAACTGCATACTTTTATTTAATTGTTCGCCCTCACGTCACTTCTTGGAACAGGTGACTTGTCACTAGCTATAATCCCTTCGAGAATAGTGAAATTATAAACATGTGAGACCGAATGTTAACATCTTCTTCCAGACCACGGTGTCAGTATGGTAACAATTTCTTTTATCTGAGGTCCAGAGCAAGTTATATTTATGTGGAATCAAATTCCTTGTGAGTAATAGAAAAAGGCTTCAACATGTACAGTAGCAGAAACATCTCTTAAATGCTCTGGTCACCAAAGCTTTTTTGTACCATCAGTGCTCAATTATGTGAGAAGAATACCTGGCAATCAGAGTCTTCAAAGGTTTCGTCCTTTTGAGGATTTTGCTTCTGATGTTTGTTGAAGTGTTGGATGCTATATAGAGAGGGGCTAGGCTTTTCTCTGTTAAAAAACAAATAATGTCATTAGCACAGGTATCAGCCTTTGAAAAATTAAAAGTCTCACAAAAGCAAGCAGAATTCACAAAGTAGTCAAGTGTGTTAAAACCACGTTTAAAGAATGATTCTATCATCAGTTAAATTTATTGTCTAAATCTCTATCTGAGGTGGGTAAAAATAGCCATATGTAACACAGTCTTAAAAACAGAAATTAAAAAGTCTCATTCAGCACAATACACTTTGCATATGAATAAACAGATGTAGGAATGCAATGTAAGTATTTCTGAAGGTGGAAGGAAAACATTTGATAACTAATGCAACATTTTCCCCAGTATATTTCCTTTGACTTTAAGGAGATAGCTTTAAAAAGACAAATAATTTTTAAAAAATCCTATATTTTATTTCCTAGATTAGATTAGAAAAATACGGTCTGAGTTATAACGGTAGCATATATTTTTATTTCCAACTGAGGCTAGTGATTCTAAGATAGCACCTCAGATTTCCTCTCTGAAGCTCATAAAATGAGAGGTATCTGTGAAGGTGATATATTTAGCTACTTCTGCACTATGTCTAACTTTAGCACCACGAGTTGTGGCAGTGGGTGCTTCACTTCCCACAATACCTTTGCTCTATTACAAGCCAAGGACAGATTGTCTGACTGTCATGTAACCAGCAGGAACATAGATTCTAGTGTAGATCATGCTTCTTGATAAAGAATTGTAAAGGAGCATCCAGAGATCCTCATGCTCAGGGATTGTATGAATGTTAGAAAAAAAGTTTCCCTGGCCTTAGGCTGAGGTGCAGTGGCTGAACAGTTCTTACTGTGAACAAGAAGAAGGCAAGGTATGTTTCAGTTAGAACTTCTTGACTGTAAAAATATAAACCAAGAAAATAGCTTATTGTGGCTGAAGTGATCCCCCAAAGGACATTATACCTCCGTTGGGAAGATAAAAATTTGCTTAAGAGCTAACCAAAATGATGATCAAGGAAACATCTCTGCGAAGGGACCCAGATTTACGAGGAGAGTTAGCTTTCCTAGCAAAAGGCTGTGATTTTGTTCTTCCATCTCGATTCAAGAAGAGATTGAAGTCATTCCAACAGGCCCAGGTTTGACCATGCTTTTCTTTTTCTTCCTCTTTGTAACTTTTTATTGGATCAGAGGTTAGAATTGTGGCTTGTTAGGCTTTTCTATTTTCAGAAGGTTATTTGCACCAGATACCCATAGGTTTAAAAATAGGTCTTCTGAGCTTAGCACATGAATGTCCCTATTGGTAAACAAGAAGAAAGAACCCAAAGGTATTTTCCTTTTGAGTGCAAGAATGTTAGCATTAATAAAGATTATTAACTAATAATTATTTCAATGTTGTTTGTTGAAGAATTGTATTGCATGTATTTCATGCTACATTCCTTACTTGGTGACTCTAAATATCAGCTGCAGTAGGAAAACTTTGTTCTGCAACTGCTGAAAATATGTCTTAAAGGTTGAAGCAAAGTGGCTGCGGCAGAGGTCACGTGTGGTTGTGCTTCACTATTGCACTTTTCCACATGTTATAATTGCTAACTTGGTTTATATCAACAAGTAGAAGAAAAAAGTTGTTTAGATTTTTTGTAAGAGTGTATGTTGATATTCAGTTGTGGAACTGAAATGTGTTAACCAGCTCTTAGAATTTATACAGGCCAACAGTTACCCATTCACATTGAGCATTTGTTCAACTTTCTTCATGCCCAAGATACTGGTACCGCATTCCATTGTCTACATAATGCAGGACTAAAGCTAGTATTAACAGAGTCAAAGTGGGACAAAAACAACAACAATCTTGCTTTCAAGGGTTTTTTAAACTCCATCCCAGAGCAATGGTGTATTTTGTTCTATTTTATTCCAGTTTGATCCAATGCAAAATCTGCTCATGTGGATCCCAGTACTGCTCTGATATGTGCTGCTCTGTGCACTGTGTGAGTGGCTGCTATTTGATGACATTTTTATGGGCATTTTTTCTGCTAGTCATTCTCCATCCCTCCATGTCTTACTTGACACTCTTATTTCGTTTTCTTGGGATATCAGCATTTTTAATTTTTATTTTGGAATTTTTGTTTACATGTTAAAATGTCAGGTCAGAGACTTGGATTCCTAAACCTCCGCCTAAGAGCTGAATAGAACTGTATAGACTTTTGGGGGGGGGGTGTGAATCAGAAGGCTGTGTACATAATAGCTGGCATTTATTCCCCCCCAAAGGGTTAATTCCAGAATGAAATCAACCATTTCATCTTATAAAATTTCATCTGGGTATCAAAGTATAAGTCTGTTAATTGTTGCAATGATTCCAAGTAATATTAGCTTGTTTGTTTCTACAAGCTTTATTTATCTAAGTTGTTGAAAACAATCAAATTTTTACAGCTATGGAAAAACTGTAAGCACAAATGCTTTAAAAATATATGAAAACTAAACGTTAGTTGCAGGCAAATACTTAAGTCAGAATTCAGTCCAAAATACAGGATCATAAAAAGTACAATAAAATACACCAAAAATAATGTATCAGCTACATTCTAAAATGCAAATGCTTATAGCCTAAAAAGACACATTGAAAAAGCAGAAAACACATCTCCTAAAATATCGAAGTTCTTGAAATAAATAATATATTGAAGAAAATTACTTTCTTCCTCTTTAACTATAACACACACAAAACTAAGTGCTCACCCAGCCAAACCAGTTTAGATTTATGAAAGAAAATTCATGTTGTCCTTGTCGGCTGTTTCTGTTGCTGCTACATGATATCAGTGCTGTTGGTATCTAGAGTATGTATTGTGGCATGTTGTTGAGAGGACGGGGTGAAATAGGCTGGGAAAGGGCAGTCCTGCATTCTGCTTTTTAGCTTTTTAAAAAATTACAATTTCTGCACTATAGCACAAAAGTGAAAAGTTAGAACACAGACAATTAGAAAGCATTGCAACAAAAAAAATGAAGGTTTCAGAATAATAAGCGGGTTAAAAAAAGGAGTTGAGAAAAGGGTGAAGATGGACAAAAGGGAGGGCAGTTTGTGCTGAGAGTAACATGTCAGGGAGCAATTCTAGAAATCTGTGGAGAAGTGGTACTGGGAAGATCCAGTACATCCAGCAACAAATGCCCTTTCCGTGTATGGATCCCTGTACTGGGATGATCTATATTGAAATCTGAGGTAAAAATACCACAATGACCTGGAGCAACTGAAGAACAACTGAAGCCCTACATCTCAGCTTACTGTCATTTGTACACTACTTGCTGGTTTTAACTTTAATACAAAGAACCCATGTTCCTTTTCCTTAGTATTCAGAACTTCTTTTGGAGGGATTGGAATATGCCTGTAAATTTGTGTACTGTATACATCCACCAGGCTACCTTCCTCTACTAGTGGAAGTCAGTATCTAGCTACCTAATTATCTTGGAACTAAACCATCCAGTGATTCCTGAACCAGAATTCATTATTTCATTAATTATTTTCAAAATATGTCCATATTTTTAAAAGTACGTGGTAACAGATTTATTGGGATATGTATGAATATAGTCCACACTGCTGCAGTTTCATACAGATATAGAAAAACTGCAGTTCCAGGAAGAAACATGAAACATGTAAGAGAAACATGAAATACTACTTTGAGCTGGACAAGAACTGGACAAAGTCTGTGATACATAGTCCCCAGCATGGTGAATAATTGTATTGAAATTAGTGTGAGTCCTAAGCATGATCCTTTGAATCAAAGACGGAAACATCTGAAATTTGTGAGACACCAAATATTTGTCATAATGTAAATGTTATTCCATTTGGCAGCAAGATACGTGAGGAGACTGAAATGGCTTGAATGCAAAATGCAATAAGGAAAAAAGTCAGAAGTGGAGAAGCCCCTAAAAGCAAATATTGGGAGAAAGTATTCTTCACTATCCACCATGAGGGTTCAACCTACAGTATGCGTGACAGGAAAAATGAAAGGATAGAACACTAGCCTGATTGGTTGTAGAAGACAGCTTGGCTGAAACACAGGGACTATGGGCCCCTGGCAAGAAAAGTACACTCAAGGGGCAACACTTTAATAAAGCAAATTAAAATAGATCAACTTTATAACAGTTTTTGTTTTGCTTTGTCTTGTTACAAGACGCCTTTAAGCTAAAATAATTTTTATAGAAGGAATTGGGAAAAGGCTGTATGGTTCAGGATTGCACATATACTGTACAAGTTTTGGGTGATACCTTTATTGAACCACTAAAAAAGTCATACAAATTGCAAACTTTCATGGGTAAAAATCCACTTTGTCAGGCTGTTGAGGATTATTTAAAGTTCTGGGTTGTGTAATAGCTTTGTTGAATCACTGAAAAGTTGCAGTGTTGAAATTCTCCAAAACTTTTAATCAGGCACGGGTGGTATAAAATTTGGGGATAAAAGAAAAGACAGATAGTCCCAAGAATTGAGCCAGGTGTGATGCCCATTGTTCTTGAACATACACTGATAGAAAGACAAGATGAAGTTTGGTGATTCAGCTTGAGATAGAAGTGTCAAGGTTACAGTTGATCCTGTCTCTGTAAACAAAACTCGTTTGCTTAGAGAATAAAAACATGGAGCAAAACAGCAGCAAAACATGATCAAATGTGTCACACTGAAATCTCACAGTAAAATTTGTTAATCTTCAGGGTATTGCAAGACTTTGTTTTTTGTTTGTTTATGTTCTGCTAAAACAGACCAACACAACTATGTATTGATAAATAAATAAATAAATAAATAAATAAATAAATAAATAAATAAATAAATAAATAAATAAATAAATAAATAAATAAATAAATAAATGGTTTCATCAACCTGTAGCTGGGACCAGTCCTCATTTCCAGAATGCCTGCTGTTTCTTTAGAAAGCTTTGGAGGGACACTGTTTTGGAACTTTAAAATATATAGTTAGTATAAAGTGGTGCTGTCTTAACAAAATGTTACAGACAGAATAATTATAAGTAGAGAAAGTAATATAACATGAACCCTAATTGTATTAATTTATCATTGCTAATTATTCACATCATCTAAGGTCTGAATTAACTTCATGGTACTTGTATATATAACTGCATTCCATAGACATAGCTTATTGTCTTGCTGGTAATTGTTGATACTTGCTGGTAATTGTTCATTTGATGGGCTAGTTTTCTTATATTTCTTTTTCACCTTCATGTTGAAAAAATAATGTCACACACTATCTTTCTAGGTACAAAATAAACAAGAGAAGAAATCTGCGTCTCCGTCCCCAACTCCTGTAAATTCAACAGTCAGCCCACAGTCACTTGTGCCCACAAGTAAAGTAACTGCTAGTGCCCCTTTGTCTGTAAACATTCCGCGATTCTACTTCCCCAGTGGACTCCCTAATGTCTGCAACAGTCATGAGGAAACCATTGCCAAGGTTGAGGCAGCCTTTGCAGAGTTTGAAGATGAAAGAGTCCCCCTGAATGAAATGGGGAAAATTGCAAAGGTAAGCATCAGTATTGCCTAGCTTCTGGAACTGCTTAAGGATTAAAAAACAAGGAATGCTGTACCAAGTTACAGACTAATAGGCTTAATATGGTATAAATTTTGTTGACAGTGGATGGTATCTATCAAATGTAGTTGCATAATAGGTCCATTTGTCTGCAATATACTGTAAGACTTTGCTACTTTTCTGCAACAGACTAAGGTTGCAGCCACATTGACAAATGCTTTGGCATTTGCTCTGCAATTAGCATGGCTGAATTCAAAAGTATTTTTCAATTAGCACACATGGAAAAGGCCAATGTGAATCACCATGGCCCTTTTTGCTTCTAATTTGGATTTTTCCTCTCTGTCCCTGATGACTTCTACTTTTTAAAAAAGCTAGAATGTTTGAAACAGTGTTTTCCCTGTATGATTATTTGTTTTATTCAACAAAAGAATGGTGAGCAGGACCCTGAGTGGTGTTATGGTGACATATTAGGCTGGGACTTGATGTATTGGGATAGCAGGAACAGCCACCCTCACAATCTTTCTCCCTAGTCATCTCAAAGTATTTCTTAATTAAAAAAACACACACTACCAAGTTTAGCACTAGATCACTTTATCACTGCATTGATACATTAATTAACTTAGAACTAGATCTCCTCTGCACAGAAAAAAAAGATACAAAAGAGATCACCAGATGGCCAGTATCAAAGAAAGAGGGCCAAGGGCTCTGGGTGCTTATCTAATCACATCAGATTGAGGGCCAGCATGGACACTGGCACCAAAACAATCAGGGGTCTTCATGTGATCACCTAAACTGAACTGTAAATGAAACTGAGAATCAAACTGCAGCAAAGCTGAATTGCTCCGATTTCGCTTACTACTGTAATTGCATCCCAAATACTGTAGCTACTTTTCTGAAAGTCCTTCAAGGTTAGAGCTTCATTACAGTATCCCAGAGTGCAGGACACACAACAATGGGCTCAAGTTAAAGGAAGCCAGATTTTGGTAGAATATCAGGAAAAACTTCCTGTTAGAGCAGTACAACAGTGGAATCAGTTACCTCAGGAGTTGGTAAGTGCTCCAACACTGGAGGCAGATATGCTTTGATTGTATTCCTGCATTGAGCAGGGGGTTGGACTTGATGGCCTTGTAGATTCCTTCCACTTTTTTATGATTCTATAAATAATTCTTTACAAAGAAATGTTTTTAGGTGACCAAAAAATTCAACCAAAAATACATTTTTAAAAAAAGTATAGCTGATATTCATGGGCGCTATATGCTAAGTGCTGAAGGGCAACATAGAAGTGCTTGTATGTGAGGAAGGAAACACTGTGTGGGATTTCCATTTTTTAACTGGCTGGTTTGCTGCCACTAGTTTATATTAGAGCTATGAGAAAATTAAGAAAGCAATGAATTCCAGGTGAGATGATGAAGTGTTTTCTTGGAAGGTGCTTCTCTGCTGCTGAGGGAGCTGCAAAAGAACCAATGTGTTGTGGTGGATGAACAGTTAGAGAATCGGGGTGAAAATCCCTAGTTTTCATTCTTCTTAATACTATGTTTAACCAGTATTGTAGGGCACTAAACAGTATTCAGACTTCCAGTTACCGACATTTGTCCATTCTACCATTTAAAAAAAAACCTTTTTGTTAGGCTGTCATTGTTTGAGAGTACACACACAGCAGTACTGGAGCAACTTTAACTTCTGGATTTTTGCCCTCTGAAACTTAGAATGATTACTAAAAATTTTAATCTTTGTAAATGAATAACATCCACACTTCTAAGAAAGTAAGAAAGCTTGTGTTTCTTAGAGAAATATACTTCAAATAGGAAGGGTGGCAGAAGTCCTAGTTTTAGCTAACTAAGGGCCAACCTAGCGGTTCGAAAGCATGCAAATGCAAGTAGATAAATAGGGACCACCTCGGTGGGAAGGTAACAGCGTTCTGTGTCTAAGTCGCACTGGCCATGTGACCACGGAAGATTGTCTTCGGACAAACGCTGGTTCTATGGCTTGGAAACGGGGATGAACACCGCCCCCTAGAGTCAAACACGACTGGACAAAAATTGTCAAGGGGAACCTTTACCTTTTACCTTAAGGGCATGTCCAGGTGGAGTGGACTGGTTTGCTTTTTTAAAAAGTTCTTTAGTGTGATCTGTTTCATCTCTCACAGGGTTGAGGCAGGTCTTTGGATTCACCAAATTTGTCCCCCTTTCAATTAATGGTACTCTTCTTCCTGCCCCCTACCCTGTATTTTCCTGAAGCTGTCAATAAAAGATTACTAAAAGTCCCACCTCTGTGGCTTAATTTGTTAATCACCTAACAGCAGAAGCTGAAGCATGTCCCAGATATGGTTAGGGAGAGTTTGTAAGATGCAGAACAAAATGCTTACCATGATGCATAAGCAAGGCACCATGATTTTAATGTGGGGAAACAAATGTTGTTCCTCAGCTCCAAATTATGTGTGAAGGTCTGTTTATGGTAAAGAAGAAATTTATTGCTCTGAATTACTTAAATGAAAGGTTTGGAAGTGGGTTTATCATGTCAGTAATTTAAAACCATGTATGACCAGAGATGAGATGATTCCTGCATGCGTTACCTGAAAGTAAAAGGGGAAAGTAATGTATCGGTGAAATTTATTTATTTATTTATTTATATCCCGCCTATCTAGCCACTTAAGGCCACTCTAGGCAGCTTACAGCAAGGATAATACAATATAATTAAAACAATTTTAAGTAAGGGGAGCAACTTAGAAAAAGTGAAACGAAAATAAGGAGAGGGAAAAAAAAACACAACAAAATAGGAAAGGTCAAGGATTGGCTGAGGGGAAGGCCTGCCGGAACATCAGTGTTTTTAATTGATTTTTAAAAGTACCTAGTGAGGGAGCCGCACGAATATCAGGGGGAAGGTTCTTTTCTTAAAAAGGCTCTTTTCTTCCCCATATTTTTATAAAATATGTAGTACGCACTTGGTAGATAAGTGGAATGTTCTGAATGTAGCATATTTGATTTCACTAATGCTCTCAGCATGGTTATTCATGGTATTCTTATGTCCTGGCTGGTAAAATTTGGACTGTATAATATTGCTATTAGGCGGATTTGTAGCTGGCTGATGGGCCATAGCCAAAGACTGCTCACCAGTGGTTCCCTCTCATGGAGAAAATTGATAAGCAAGTGCTGCAGGGTTCTGCCCTGGGCCTGGTGTTGTTCAAATCTTTATAAGTAACATGGATTCAGGACCTGAGAAAATGCTTATCAAATGTGCAATCCCAACAAATTCAGAGATAACAAGTATTTCAAAAGACAGAAACCGAATTCAAGGTGATTTTTTAACTGGTTAGAGAACTGGACCAAAACAAAAGGAATAGTTTCAACAGGGGAAAAATGTGAAGTTCTACACCAAGTCTGCGACTACATGGGTAAATACTATAGGATTTGCTGTGGAAGTAAAATGGATGCATTCATATATATTTTTAACTGATCACACGACATGACAGCAGTATTAGTGTTTGCTTTTGAATTTTTCATTGCTTCTATAAAGTAAGGGCAAATCTTCATTGAAAGATTCTTGGTCTTCTCCTATAGGTTCATATTTCTTTTTGGGATAAAGTTTAATGCATCAAGCCATTGTTAGGTTTTCTACAAAACACAGAGACATTTTTTCCCCATTCTCTGAGTACCAGCTTCCATGAGTGCAAAATTATTGCCTTTGATAAGGCAAACATGCAGCCAGTTATGCTTCTGTAGTTTCTCTTCAGTATGATTAACAGTTACAATGCACTCTAGCGAAGACAGCAGGGCCTGACGTGCTGTGGTTCATGGGGTCACGAAGAGTCGGACACAACTAAACAGCAACAACAAATGCACTCTAGCATTTATGTGCATGCATGGTCTTTTAAACAAACAAAAATTGTATGTGCTTGAGAAATAAACTTAAGGGGGAAGACAGAAGAGAGAGCCTGGATGCTTCTAGAAAAATCCTTTATTGTACTGTCATCTTGTTTCAAACATAGAATTTTATGTGAGCTCCATATGACTTCATCCATTTGTAATCTTCCCAAGTTTTCCCATAATTTCTTCCATCTTTTTCTTTCCACAATTTTTTAAAAAGAAGGAATGAATAACTACACAATGCCTTTTCATTGGTAGTTCAAGGATCTGTCTATCCGTAAACATATGCTGTCAATTAAGTAGTAGGCTTCCAACAGTATAATCACAGATATTTTTAAAAGCCCACAATTTGTCTTTTTATCTGTATTATATATATGCCTTCAAGTGGGCAGTTTGCATGTGTGAAACCACAGCAAGGCAAAGCCAGCAGCAAAGTTATACTGTATGATGGATTCTGCTGCTGGTGGTGTGCTACTGAGTAACTTTTTCCTTTCCTTTTTTTCTTTTCCTCCCGGTCTCCTATTATGGTAATGCAATATTAAATCTTACTACAAACGGTATCTGCTAATTGTAATCAATAAGGCGCTTCACTATATGGAAAGGCTGAAATTTAAACAAACAAAACGTGGATTTGTGCATTTTCTTGGAAAAACATTGGACAAAGAACTACAGTACTGTGCTTTAGACAAAACATTTATGTTCCAAGTGGCTTATCATATAATATTGGTGGTATATGTGCAGAATAGTTATTCTTACAACAGTTCTAAGTCCTACATAGCTAACAGTGAATTAAGTCTCTTTAAATGTTTAACCATTTTAAGTGCCATTTCTGGTTTTTCCACATGGAATAGAGCCTAAAAAATAAAATTAAGACAGAGACAAAAATCAGTCCTACATAGTGAGACCCATTGGTCATAAATTGTAATTAGATTAGAATAAACAAGCATAGTAATTAGGTTGCAAATATATTAAATTCAAGTCAGAAATTTAAAATCAAATAATTAGTCCCATTTAGAATAAATATACTGAATTTCCATTGATTCATGTATTTGCTCTGGTTGAGGCTAAACAATAGATTTAAGCCAAAGTTTGCTTGGACTTTTAAAAAGCCATTCTTTATTTTCTATTAAAATTAAAAAGCCCCCAAATTCTGTACTTTTCATAGGAAGTTAGCTGGCTATTTAGGTCTTGTTTTGCTGTTTACAGATATGCTGCTGCCCCCTGTATTGGAAAGCTCCCATGTTCAATGCATCAGGAGGAGAGCGAACGGGATTTGTCTCTGTACATTCATTTGTGGCCATGTGGAGAAAGTGAGTATGCTGTGTAAAAATATTTTTCCAGAAAAAACAGCATAGTGGACTTGTCCTTTTAGTATTTTTCTTCTCTGTGCCTCACTTGTGCCCTTTAAAACCCACTTCTTGAAATAATTCTTCGAGGACTTTTTTGCCCATTTAATACATTTAAGAGTGAGTGTTAGAGCTCTGGTGAGCAATACATTGCTTAGCTATTTTTGTCTGGTAATTAGTGAGGATTGATTCTCATGGTACTGTTGTGTACATGAGTCACATTTGCAAGTCAAACATATTTAAGCAAAGTATCATAAGAATGACCAAAAGTGTGTGTGTGTGTCTATAAAAATGTGTATTGTGTGTGTGTGTGTGTGTGTGTGTGTGTGTGTGTGTGTGTATTGGAGCTTTAAATGTACTGGAGCTAGTAGCCAACATTAATCTGCACAACATTCTTTAATTACTTTTATGCTTTCTTGAAAACAAATATGAACTTTATATATTCTTTAAAGTCCATATCCATAAACAGCTGTGAGGGGTGGTCACAGTATCTAAGTATGTCAGTAGAAGTAATGTTTTTCTTTTCCCACCTTTGAATTTCTGCCAAATTAGTGTGTGTGTATGTGTGTGTGTGCGTGTGGCATGATTTCTGAATGAAACTATTTAGTAGATACTTTTGTTGGGACTGCAGCAGGGGAAAGGGTTAAATTCTCCCCATTGACAGCACTGCAGAAATATGTATAGTGTTACATCTAGTTTGGTTCTGTGGAATACTACTTTGTGGTTGCTAGTTTCTTTTATTACTATTATGAATCAGTGTCTGAGTGTTCTTTGTGTCTGAGAGAGCAGATTGTAATCCAGGAAATCTCACTCTTAAATAAATCTGTTGGTTTTTAAAATGACACAACTCACTTGTTTTTATTTTTTGTTATATATGCTGAAAGAAATTAATTAGGCTGTATAATTAAAAAATTGTAAACCGCCCGGAGAGTGCTTGTAGCGCTATCGGGCGGTATATAAGTCCAATAAATAAATAAATAAATAAATCAGAATCATCTTAATTGTGTGGAATGCTCAGAGTATATTGTAATGAAGTTTCAGATGTAGTTATATCTAGCCCTCAAGCACTTAGTTAGCAATATAACATAGACCAGTGGGAAGACATTGGGAAGAGAGCAAGATTCTGCAGAGAAAGAATCAGGAGAAGCAATATAGGTTACATTAATCAAATAATTTTGCCATCAAATGCAGATTCTTTTCTTTCACATAGACAATGTCTTGGAGGCTACCTGGGCGCCTTAGCATGGGATGCAGAGGAGCTTTACATTTTTGCATTGTGCTGTGCTCTAAGTTGAATTGCAGATTTTCCCTGATGTTCGCATGTGCTAAGTGGGTCTTATGTCCAAATGCAAATAGCTATCATAAGGGTTGTTGTGGATCCATATTAGGTATTCAATGAGGGAAAGCCTCCTGGGTCCTAAGCCAAGGTCTCAGTGTGGATCAGGATTGAGTCACTGGCTGTTTGTCTATTTGTGAAATAAAAATCAACACTACCCATAAGGGCAAAATGATTAATGTTGTATGAATTCGTTTATAGCTAGGAATGAGGATCAAAGGGTAGAACTGAAGGCCTTACAAAAGTAGCATTGTTTTGCTTCTTTGAGAACACTGAATACTTTTATAGTTACATTATTTCTTTTGTAGGATATTGCACAACTGCCATGATGATGCATCGAAATTCATTTGCCTTTTAGCAAAGCCCAACTATAACTATTTGGAACAAGAAGATTTCATCCCATTACTGCAGGTATGTATCTTTACCCCACTCAACCTTCAGCCATTTCAATCTAGAGGTAGTATAGAAAATGTGGGAGCAAGGGGCATTACAGTCTGTATTTTGCCCTGGCCAGGGGAAATTGACAGGACTTGGAATAAGGTGATGGATTTACTAACCCCCTTTTCCCTGGCCCCACTTCTAATTGCTCTACTGGTTACATAGAGCAACATGGGTTTGTGTGTGTAAAATATAATTTTGTTAATTCCTTGACTATCTTAACTGAAATAATTTGGCTGTCTTTCAGGATGTAGTGGAAACTCATCCTGGACTGACATTTCTAAAGGATGCTCCAGAATTCCATTCCCGTTATATTACTACGGTAGGTTAGCTTCATGTACAATATGTCAGTATTTATGTAAGCAAAGATTATTGATTGATTGATTGATTGATTGATTGATTGATTGATTGATTGATTGATTGATTGATTGATTGATTGATTGAGGTTATATGCCGCCCATTTAGACATAGTCTACTCTGGGTGGCTCACAAAACAAAGAATAAAAACAATTAATATGAAATAACAATTTCCAACATTTACACAGATAATTATGCATTTGAGCTGTGGCTAGTGTTACGTGGAGAAGAAATCATTGTATTGTCATTATAAAATATTGCCTCATCTTCTTCACTTTCTTCAGTATGCTGCTTGTTTCTCTACAGCCTTTGTGAAGTTGCCCACAATTATGATAAAGCAGTGCAAAGTCATTCAGTGCAGTATCGTTAAGTCAGACCACTGAACTCTACATTGCCCTTGTACTCCAGATGGCAGAATCAACAGAGTGCTTTTGCACCCCTTTGCTTAGTGCAGTGGTTCTTAACCTTGGGTTACTCAGGTGTTTTTGGACTGCAACTCCCAGAAGCCTTCACCACCAGCTGTGCTGGCTGGGGTTTCTGGGAGTTGCAGTTGAAAAACACACGAGTAACCCAAGGTTAAGAACCACTGGCTTAGTGCACCAGCTCGATCAGAAAATGCTCCAAGGCCCGAGCTACCTTACAGAAGTATTCTGTGACCCATTGTTCTCCAAAGGTGTTGAAGTAGAACTACCACGGAATGCCCAAAATCAGAGATGCGGAAAGTTTTAGTACAAATATCTGAAAAGTACTGGATTGGGGAGGCTTCTATAAGTCTGCAGATTTTAAAGGAAAACCTAGAGCTATGAACTCTGTTTTTGGTAAAACAGCAAATTACAATGATCTTCCCAGGCATGAAACAGAGAGCAAGAGGCAGCTGTACAGTACTGGGGATAAATCCCCCCAAACCACTCCCCCACATTTAGTCAGGCTTCTAGAGGCAACCTCTTCTCTACAGGTTGCTGTATCTTCCTGCTTTTCAGACAGCAACAACTTTTGTTCTTCAACAACTGCAGGCTTTGTTGTTGCTGTGACTGAGTTAACTAACCCTGTCTAGTCCTAAAATCTTACTAAAGAAACATCCATGCAGAAATTCAATGTAAGCCAGTAACTTGTTGCCCACCCATGCTGCCGTGTGCAACTTAATTAATAATTTAATTGAGTGGAGTATGTTAATGCCTATTTCTGATTTAAAAAAAAAAAACAATACTAGCAATAGCTCCAGTTCTGATCTACAAATGATTTTCAGATTTTTATTTTATTTTCAAGGTCATTCAGAGAATATTTTACACAGTCAATAGATCATGGTCTGGAAAAATATCTCTAACAGAACTGAAGAAAAGTAATTTTCTGCAGGTATGTTAATTTCCTAGATTTGCATTGAGAACATGTATTGCTAATAGACTACCCAGAGATAGTTCTATGACTGAATTTAATGGTAAAAATATAATGTAATTTGTATAGCTTGGCAGATTTCTAAAGTGGCAGAAGTACTGGTCATGGCAACATCAAGTGAGATATCTAAAGCTTTGCTTATCTCAAATTATGCCTGGGTTGAGAAGGTATGCCACAGCTATGCCAGTGAACAGCTGCTGAACCATACACAGCTGGGAGAGCAACAAGGTCATTGAGGATGATTCCTAACCAGTAAAATACACAAACTGGATGAAAACAACAGACATGCCCACTAATCATGGATTATGTTACTGATGACAACCGCATGCCACTCACTGCCAGAGGAAGCCAGTGAACTTACACACATCGTGAATGTGCACTCCTGTGTCATTATACAGAACAACTGGTTCCAGTTGTCAGCCCTAATATTACACCCAGCAGTGACCTCCACTCTTGTAAGTTCCAAAAGAATAATACAAGTAGGGGATTGAAGGAGAAAAGAAAAACCCACATAATTTAGCAATATATTTTGTTCTGCATACCCACACTGACAGGAGAATCCTCCAGTAACTCACTGCACAGGGCATACATTTGGGAAGCGGGAGACGAAAGTTTGAGTCCCACCAGGAAGATGGGGCAACATACCTGCATAGTTACACCAGAGGCAAAAGACAGGAAGCTTTCTTGTCTCAAACCCACAGTGCAGACATTGACCATCAGGGGGCATTTATAATCTACTTCACCAGATCCCACCTCCCACCCCCAACGTAACCCATTGTCCTCCAAAGGTGTTGAAGTAGAGCTACCATGGAATGCCCAAAATCAGAGATGCGGAAAGATTTAATATGTTGATGATAACAACACAGGAATATATAGGAGAAGCCCTGCTATAGTTAAAAACAAACAAACACCAAGCTTACATTTTACATGCAAGGACGTTTTGGGTTCAAAATCAAAGTGTAACTAAGATAGGTAGGAAAGGCATAGGAGGGTCCCTCATACATGTGTGCATTCACAATCCAATCAGGCATAGCAAGTATATGAACCAGTATCTAGGCTCCTATATGTACTAGACAAATCTTCAGGGACTCACCCAATATCCTGTGTGATCAATCTGCAGGTGTCCTTTAATAAAAAGATAAGAAAACACAACTATAGAACTTGTTTGTTTCAGTCTTAGTCAAGGTGAACACTGTTTCCTGAAGGGGTGTCCAACTTTTTATTTCTTTATAATAAAATTCCTGTATGAAGTATGCATTTATCACAGTTGATCAGAATATTATTGTTATATGAAGCTCGCAAAGTATGACACAGAAATAATTATTATTATTTGGGGACTGTTAAAAGCTCAGAATGAACTTTTATATAGGTCTGTTTGGGGCGGGGGTCCACTTAGAAAAAGTATTGAAAGCTTGATACAAAACAGTCTTCCAGACAGAGTTTTTGGTACCTGCTCAGCACCTGCTGTGTAGAATGAATTTGTTACTGTTTTTCAGACTTTAGCCCTCTTGGAGGAAGAAGAAGACATAAATCAAATAACTGATTATTTTTCTTATGAACACTTCTATGTTATTTATTGTAAATTTTGGGAATTGGACACTGACCATGATCTGTACATTAGCCAGAAAGATCTGGCTAGATACAATGATCAAGGTAAGCAGGTTGAAAATAGGCACTGACAGTTACTAACATAAATTAAGTATTATTTCATATATGCCTCACACACATCCCAAATTACCAAACTCGGTATATCTCCTGCTTTGGGTATCTCCTCTAAGAGAAGCAAAAAGTGGTGACAAGGAAGAGGGATTTTCTGATAGTGGCCCCACAGTCAATACACTGTTCTTCCCAACAAGAGCCTCATTATCAGCTTTTCAGTTAATGTATTTCATATGGCCAGGCATTTGCCAAAATCAGACTGGTTGATTTTCAGGTATCAATGTTCTGCCAGTTGATTATCACCATTAGTCTTATGAGGGGAAGTACTGTATGATAGATTCGTTATTATAATGGTGCTACGTGTATTCTTCCTAACTTTTGTATATTCTAATTCTTATAAGACAGAGATTTTTTAAAAGATAAATATGTGTAATAAATTTAATTACTAATCTTTCCTGATGTTTTACCAAACAACTTGCACAAATCTTCTGCTGATACGTAAGTCTTTGTTGCTTCAGTCACTTTAGTATTATGTAAAAGCAGATATGCAGTCAAGCAACTTGTGCTGTAGTTCAAGTCTGAATGGAAGTAGTGCTCCTTTTTCACAGTGCAGCCACTGAAAAAGTAAAGATAGCTAACAGATATGACAATCTCTCTTTAACAGTAACTCTGCAGAGAAAGAAAATGTTAAAATATAAAACTACTGTATTCCCAGGAATCAGATCTGGACAACTTTTTCAGCACTCCCAACTTTTTCACCACCATCCTTACTAGTGTTAGGGTGGCATGTGGGTTGAGCAGACATGTGTTTCACTCCAGGCTTTTTTGAGATGCCGCTCTGCCCTGGTCACGAGCCACTGATGAACTCTGGGTTAGATCTGCAGTTTTGTCAGACAGGCAGGTTTTCACATGTTTAATATTTAACTAAAGAGCACAGATCTTGCCGGCTCATAGACCTTCAGGCCTTCATGTATAATACGAGTGGTACTTAAAACTTTTAAAGGGATAAAATTACTAGATGAAAAGCATTCAGTATCATATATTGAATGGTAATAGTTTTTATATAATATGATCTTTGGTAAAAGTGTGCACAGTGAGGAAAATCTTTTTCATGTCAGTTTTTCCACAAAAGCATGGGATCACCTTTCTGCACATATTTCATCTTTGTATAGAAAAAATGTACCAGTTATTAGACATAAAGTAAACAAACTCAACCATTTAAATTATTCCTGACTCTTATTTTTTTCATCTACAGCTCTTTCAAGCAGGATTATAGAGAGAATATTCAGTGGAGCTGTGCTTAGGTAAGAAAGTGGGAAACAAGACTAGCAGGAGAAATTTAAATTTGGTGGAAGGAAATATGGTGGGATTCAGAAAAATGCCTCAGACAAGGAACCCTTTCCTTCCTTGTTTAAGGATGTTTTCACAAATGCTGTTTATATTACCTTTGGTTTAAATCAGTAATGCAAAGTGAATATTCATATTAGCTACAGTATATATTCAGTTTCTTTTCTGATGATTTTTTCATTCATGAATATGTTTATAAAAGTTCAAACACACTTTTTATATTTCCCTGACTTCTGTTCATCCTGGGTCAGGAAATCTTGGGCAGTGATTTCTAAGTTCAATGCATAATAATTTGTTTGGTGTATTTTCAGCTTGAGATATAATGGATTGAATTTTGAATTTGTGCATGCACAACACATATGTTATCATTGAGCCGTAATCCTCTCTTTCTATATGGTGATTCATTCACAAGAACAATTTATATTGAATAATTGTAAATGGATAGTCATTACATGGAGACATTTGGTCATGATAAATTATTGCATAAAAAGATACATTGAATGGGACAATCATGTGCTCTAATACACTAGTTCTTAACCTTGGGTTACTCAGGAGTTTTGGACTGCAACTCCCAGAAGCCTTCACCACCAACTGTGCTGTCTGGGGTTTCTGGGAGTTGCAGTTCAAAAGCATCCGAGTAACAAAGGTTAAGAACCACTGCTCTAATATATTTCCAGGACTTGAAATGTAATATTTGTGGTATATCCAGACACCTGAAGAGTAAAAGAGTTTTTGAAATCTATCCCTAACTGTATTTATTTGTTTAATTATTTGGGATTTCACTACATATTATTTGTATATTTCAGAGGAATTCAAGTACACAAAGAAAACCAGATGAGTTATGCAGACTTTGTGTGGCTTTTGATCTCTGAAGAAGACAAAAGAACACCTACAAGGTATGATAAGAGGTCCAAAATGCTAAGATAGATAGAATAAAGGTACATTTATCAAGATACATACATTTCCAAGTAGCTAAAATAATTACTGTACAGGAGGCAGCAACAAAAACAATCCCAAAGAAAGGGAAATGCAAGAAAGCAAAGTGGCTGTCAGTGAGACCTTACAAATAGCAGAGAAGAGAAGGGAAACAAAATGCAAGGGAGATAGGGAAACTTACAGAAAATTGAATGCAGACTTCCAAAGAATAGCAAGGAGAGACAAGAGGTCCTTCTTAAATGAACAGTGCAAAGAAATAGAGGAAAATAATAGAAAGGGAAAACCAGATATCTGTTTAAGAAAACTGGAGATATTAAAGGAAAAGATGGACCTGATAAAGGACAAAAATAGTAGGGACCTAACAGAAGCAGAAGACATCAAGAAGAGTTGGCAAGAATACACAGAGGAATTATACCAGAAATATCTGGATGTCCCGGACAACCCAGATAGCGTGGTTGCTGACCATGAGCCAGGCATACTGGAGCGAGAAGTCAAGTGGGCCTTAGAAAGCACAGCTAACAACAAGGCCAGTGGAGGCAATGGCATTAAAGTTGAACTATTTAAAATCTTAAAAGATGGCACTGTTAAGGTGCTACACTTAATATGCCAGAAAATTTGGGAAACTCAGCAGTGGCCAGAGGATTGGAAAAGATCAGTCTACATCCCAATCCCAAAGAAGGGCAGTGCCAAAGAATGCTCCAACTATCGTACAATTGCACTCATTTCACATGTTAGTAAGGTTATGCTGAAAAATCCTACACGCAGTATGTGGACCGGGAACTCCCAGAAGTACAAGCTGCATTTCGAAGGGGCAGAGGAACTAACATGTGCTGGATTATGGAGAAAGCCAGAGAGTTCCAGAAAAACATCTATTTCTCCTTCATTGACTACGCAAAAGCCTTTGACTGTGTGGACCACAACACATTATGGCAAGAAAGAAATGGGAGTGCCACCTTATCCTTCTCCTCAGAAATCTATATGTGGGACAGGAAGCAACAGTTAGAACTGGATATAGAACAACTGATTGGTTCAAAATTGGGAAAAGAGTACTACAAGGCTGTATATTATCTCCGTGCTTATTTAACTTATATGCAGAATACATCATGCGAAAGGCAGGACTGGAGGAATCCCAAGCCAGAATTAACATTGCCAGAATAAATATCAACAACCTCAGATATGCAGCCGATTCCACTCTGAGGCAGAAAGTGAGGAGGAATTAAAGAACCTCATAATTAGGGTGAAAGAGGAGAGCACCAAAAATGGTCTGAAGCTCAACATCAAAAAAACTAAGATCATGGCCACTAGTCCCGTCACCTCCTGGCAAATAGAAGGGGAAGATATGGAGGCAGTGACAGATTTCACCTTCTTGGGCTCCATGATCAGTGCAGATGGGTGACAGCAGCTACGAAATTAAAAGATGCCTGCTTCTTGGGAGGAAAGCAATGACAAACCTAGACAGCATCTTAAAAAGCAGAGACATCACTTTGCCGACCAAGGTCTGCATAGTCAAGGCTATGGTTTTTCCAGTTGTTATGTATGGAAGTGAGAGCTGGACCAGAAAGAAGGCTGACTGCTGAAGAATTTATGCTTTTGAATTGTGGTGCTTCAGGAGACTCTTGAGAGTCCCCTGGACTGCAAGGAGATCAAACCTATCCATTATGAAGGAAATCAACCCTGAGTGCTCACTGGAAGGACAGATCCTGAAGGTGAGGCTTCAGTACTTTGGCCATCTCATGAGAAGAGAAGACTCCCTGGAAAAGACCCTGATGTTGGGAAAGAGTGAAGGCAAGAGGTGAAGGGGATGACAGAGGACAAGATGGATGGACAATGTCATCGAAGCTACCAACGTGAATTTGACCAAACTCCGGGAGGCCGCAGAAGACAGGAGGGCCTGGCGTGCTCTGGTCCATGGGGTCACAAAGAGTCGGATACGACTTAACGACTAAACAACACCAACAAAATAATTTTTGGAGTAAATAGCAGCTTGGGGAATTTGCTGCATTTGCTAATGCTCAGAATGTCTAGATACTATGTTGCAGTGCAGTATGTCATATGAAAATAGTGTAAGTCTACGACTTAACGACTAAACAACACCAACAAAATAATTTTTGGAGTAAATAGCAGCTTGGGGAATTTGCTGCATTTGCTAATGCTCAGAATGTCTAGATACTATGTTGCAGTGCAGTATGTCATATGAAAATAGTGTAAGTCTAAACAAAGCTTCACTGTGCACATGAAAACTATCTCAAGGGTTCTTTGTTAGAAAACAATGCTTGTTTCAGTACTACAGGTGGATCTAATTCATTTCTCTCTTTCCATAGTATTGAATACTGGTTCCGATGCATGGATTTAGATGGGGATGGCATGCTGTCCATGTATGAACTGGAGTATTTTTATGAGGAACAGTGTGAGCGGATGGAATCTATGGGCATTGAACCACTGCCATTCCATGACTTACTCTGTCAAATGCTTGATCTGGTAAAGCCAGAATTTGAAGGTAAGGGCTATTTATATTAAAACACCCTTCTGCATTGCAGACCAGTGTGAGTAAAATTTTATAAATATGTATTTGAACACTGTGATGACTTTAAAAGTGTGAGTGCTATTTTTCCATTAATTATGTATGTTCATGGCAGTCACAGGACCAGTTTACTGTAAGCATACTTCATCCAGGCAGCCAAAGTAAAAGAAAAGAGTTCCATGTGTATTTCAGACACAGGACCAAGTAGTAGTCTTTACCAATCCCCAGATTTTTTGCTTTTTCAGCCCATTTCATAAATCATTTGGCAATGCCTCTGCAGGTAGGTGTATATATTAAAATACTGTATATAGACCTAAATCCAACTGCTAGTCCTAACTAGGCTGTACCCATCACAATTCATTTCTCAACAGAAAATGCTGTAAGGTCTCAGTTTCTAAATGCAGTTATCTAAGATATGTGCAATCAGTCCATCTTTCTAATAATGGCTACTTTTTAAACTCCAAGCATTTAGCACATGAACATGTTGTTCATAACAACTGTGAATCAACTGACTTGCTTGGCATATACAGAATATAGAATTTTATACAGTATAATGCGTGGTGATCAGTGGCACATAGAAATGGTTTATAAAATACATTGAAAATAATTTGAGGTATACATTCATCTGACCTATTGGCACACACAATGGCCAAAATCCAGTAATAAATTGTAACTAGAATAATCCCATTGAATCAGTGGAATTTACAGAATGGCTGACTGATCAAATCCCTACTGATTCAATGGGACAGTTTTATTTCTGAATGACCACTGGATTTCAGCCACTGATTCAGAATTAGTAGAATTTCAGAATTAGAAAAATTTCAGAATTTTCAAAAGTAGACTTGCCCCCAAGTTTTGTCAGTCTGTCTACATTAAAGGATATTCTTCTCCACAAAATCTTTAAGGATTAGTTGCCATGTGATCTCTGCGCCAGAAATTCCATACTAAGAACTGCTACACTGTTGGTAAAATTAAAACAAAAAACACCCCAAGAACTATTTCACTGTGGTAAAATAATTTATTCTGGTTTTGCAGGAAGAGTAACTCTTCGAGACTTGAAGAAATGCAAAATGGCTCACATATTTTATAATACATTTTTTAATCTGGAAAAATATCTGGATAATGAGCAACGGGATCCCTTTGCTGTGCAAAAGGTACAAGGCAGCTGTGTTTTAAAAAGTGATTACTGTGAGGTAATGTAGGAAGAGACACTACAAAGTGACAAGGTGAAAGCTTTTATGGAGTCTTTGGAGGATTTCTAATAAGTGGATGGAGAAATTGATGGCCAGTACTACAAAATATAGTTAAAAACTGCTTTTTCTTTAAATGTATACCTAATAGTGAAGTCATGAAGAAGATGAATAGAATAACTAAGAGTGTTGTCCAGACCTGAATATTTTGGGAAGGAACACTGGGATACTATTTTATATCATATTATTTTATTCTATAAGCTAGAATTAGGGACAGAAAAATAGCTGGGCACTTCTGAATGTAGAGTTTATATAAAGACTCACATCTTGATGCCATTAGTTTGTTATACATTATCCTGTTACTTCTTCTTTCTCTTAATCCTTAAAATAGCATTGGTAAATAAGTAGTCAACTAACAAATGTGGAAGAAATATCTACATTTATCATTTCAATTCTTCAATAGATGTTTTGGAGGAAAACAGCAGAAATTGATCTAATTGATTTTACTTGTAATCTCTGGTTTATCTATTTAATGACAAATAAAATAAATTAGTAAAACAAACACCACTGTTTTAAATATATTTCCACATTATCTCATCCTCTAGTGCAGGAGTCTCCAACTCCCGGTCCGCAGCCTGGTGCCAGTCCATGGCCTTGGCAGGACTGGGCCACAGAGACAGATCACCTGCTGCCTCCCACTCCTCCCCCACACCCATCCACACACATGGGTGCCCCACCCACCCGCAAGCATGCCCCACCCATCTGCGAGCATGGGGGTGCCCCACCCCCGTGGACAGACCCAACCCGCCAACCAGTCAGCAGTTCGTAAAAGGTTGGGGACCACTGCTCTAGTGGATTTCAGGTTGGAAAACACAGTATTTATCAATAAAAGTAAATAACTAATACAAGCATACCAGTCCAAGTAATATAATAAGGCACTAACTAAAATCATAGTGTTAGCTAAAACATTTCTCAGATTGAAATGCTTGGGAAAATAAAAATCTTATACTGGTATCAGAAGGAATATAATGAAGCCATGAATAAAAGCTGTTTTAGGGAAGGCATCATTGTAAGTTCAGATCCCACTAGCAAAAGATTCCCTCTTCACTGGATACTGCATTTCCAATAAGAAAAGAAGAGCCATTGAAGAAAAGCTTTAGGAAAAGATCTAAAAAATTCAGGATATCAATAAAGTATCCCCTTTCTGAGTTTAAGTTTTTATCATTCCTCAATTTTTTTAAGCTAAGACAGCAAGAAAGAGTAAAGACGAATCCCAATGTCTTTCTTTCATTGCCCTGCATACCATTGTTGCCAGCAATAAGTGTGTTCCTTACTGCCATGGTCAGGGGTTCCAAAGAGGGTTTATGGTTCCACATCACACAACATTGGTAAGAAGGAGAAATAAATGATCATCTCCCTCCAACACTTTTACTGGGGGAATTCAACAAGGCACTTCATCACTGTCTGCATTACTAGACATTAGTGGTGAGAGCTCACTGTCTACATGAAGTACTGCTTGTCCTGTTATTTTCAAGCTTAATATACCGGTAAACTTACAATTTCAGGCAAATTTATAATTTTACAGATAAATTCACAATAAAACCATTCAGCGAGGCAATTATGATCAATTTCTCTTTCTGATGATGCTTATATATGGCTACAGATATGTTTTGTGATAGTGAGGAATATGTCTTCTCTTGGAGTGTATTAATGAGAGGATGATGGCACAAATAGGTCTATTCACCTTTTAGATTTATGTTTTTCTTTCCTCCACTGCTAGCATTCTAATTTCTGGTGTTTGCTTTCTTTGTTTATATATTGCCTTTCTCTCCATAGGGGATTGAAGCTCACAACAGTTTAAAAATTTTTTATAGCATATTAAAACCAATTGAACATATATCAAGATTCAAACCAGTGTTAAAAACAAGTTAACAGAATTAAACATTTGTAAATTAATAAACAACACATTCCTGAAATACTTACTGCTTAAAAGCCTGCCTGAAGAGGAAAGTCTTTGCCTGACAACAGAAGGACAAGAGGGAGGGAGGGGGCCATGGTGAATTCCTGCTATTGATCAGTATATTAGAAGTCTCTTTCCTATGGACATCATAATAATTCCTGAGACCTTTGGGGAGATATAGTGGATGGAATAACAAGCTAAGCTAAGGAACCCCAATAGAGTGAAGAATAAAGGAGAGTAGAACAGAGCCATGTGGTGTGTGATTAGGGCTTACCATGAGAAGAAAATGTTATTGTGTAGCTGATCAGATATAACAGGAAGATGTTGAGCTGTTTTGGCAACAGAAAACTACCGTAATATTAAAAGTTGTGAGGATGAATGATTAGTGTAGGCCTTTTCAAAATGGAACAATCAGATTAGATGAAGAAGCAAAATAATGCCCATGATGAATAGGGAGTAAGTACAATGACTTCTTTTAACCAATGCCAGTACAGAGGGTAAGAAAAACAAGCATCTGTATTGGGTATTGTTAGTTTTTCCACAAGTTAAGGGAGAAAGTATGAGGAAATCAATGTATAATGTAGAAAATGAGCATCTATCCATAATTTCCAGCAACAAAAGATAACAGGAGAGAGCAATGAAGAACGTCTCTGGATTCTCCAAAAGTCTGCTCATTTTTTTTCTTTAAAGCAGGTTCATGCAACTTCCAGGGCCATTATTTCTCAACACTGAGTGTGCTGGCTAGGGCTGTTGAAAGGTACAGTTCAACATCTGTAGATCCACAGATTGTCCAACTCAGTTTAAAGGCAACTGATATTTAAAAATCTAGTAACAAAAAATTGAGCTTCATCAAAAAATTTGAAATCCTTGAATAGATTTAAAGTGAGTGATCTCTTTGAAAAAAAAAGCACCACTGTATGCTTCCTTTCAAGGGAGGGGCTCCCATGTGCATTAGCTTATACCTTTAAGATATGGCTCTTTGGCTGAAATAAAAGGAATCCTTGCGTGTACAAGATGTATCTGGATTTTAATTACTGTATACACATACAAATATGGCATATGAAGAATGGTTTGCCTTTTCTATAGTCTTCCATGATTTTGTACCCTTGAGTAATTTTACCACACTGAAGGATATTTTGGATAATTATCAGGGAATAATTATTCTTTGAGACTATTTATGCTGGACAGAGAACAGATTGTATTTGTCTTCAGTGTGGAAGGGATTGTCACTCTCGAATTGGTCTTCTCAGCCACTCCAGACATTGTTCCAAGACCTCTATTCAGAGGACATTACCATAGTCTCTCGAGACTGAAGGAAGCCTACACCCATTTACCTTTTAATATTGTGGTACCAAAAGCATTGCAAATGTGTATATGTCGTAAATATCAAAGAGAGAAATCATAATTTTGATACAGGCTTGCTTAATATATGTAGATTTCGTATATTAATTTATCCTATATTTCACATCCATTTTTTTAGGATGTTGAAAATGATGGTCCTGAACCCTCTGACTGGGACAGATATGCTGCTGAAGAGTATGAAATTCTTGTTGCAGAAGAGTCTGGCAATGAACAGTTGCAAGAAGGGTGGGTACCTGCAAACCTGTAATTGCTATTTCCAGAAGCTTCAAAACTCATTATCTTGAAATAAAACTAAGAAGATAAGCTTTTATAAACAGAGAAATATTGTTTTACAACAACACAAAGTGGATGAGATACTGCATTACCTATCTAACAATATCAGTGCAAGTATATAAGTACAGATTCTGTCCTGTAAACACTGATCTGTCCATCACTTTTGAAGCATATAAGAAAAATTTGCATCTGCCCTTGTCCTCCATCTCCAGCAAGCAATGTCGCATGTACATTTGGCTAGATCCCTATACTGTAGTACTATTTCTGGCAAAAAAGGGAAGCCCATAACCTCAAGCAGAAAAAGAACAAGGTTTGCTGTGTTTGCTGAGCAAATGTCAGTCAATGTAATTCAGTGTATTCAGATGTAATTCAGTAATTCAGCTCAGAAACAGCATGAGGTTTGTCATGTTATCTTGGACCCCCCAAATATCTCTCTACAATAATTGGTACAGGAGCAGACAGACAAGTACATAAACAGAAAATGACAAAGGACTGGAATCCTGTTCATGTTCATGTAAGGTTTGTATAACTTGTGGCTAATTAACAAGGTGCTGAGATGCATCACAATTTTGCAGTCAGGTATGTAACCAAGCATGTGACTGAGACATGCCCCAGCATCTCATCAGCTAGCTGCAATTAACCATGAATTTTGGCCAAAAGCTTTCACCACAAGCATATCATATCCTTTTTCCAAAATAACTGTTTAGCTCTTCTTTGCTCTTTAAAACAACTGCTGGGGAGAGAGGCTTCCCTGTGAATTCTGGAAATCTGAAAAAAATATGATTCAGTTGAAGGGCAGGGAAATATGCAGAAGTCACATTCTCTGTGGAAATGCATTATATAAACACAAAAAGAGCTTTAAATAGAAAGAAGAAATTGTAAACACTGGGGACAAATGGCCATTAAATGTAATATTTGTAAGTTTTACTTGAGTAATCACAGCCAGGATTTCTTGCATGTTTATTTGACTCTACTACAGTATTTGTCTTTATATTGAAAATCTGCCACTTGAAGATAGTAATACAGACATGGCACCATAAATTGTCTTTAGGAGCCCCAAAATCATGTTGCTTTTGTGTTATATCTGTCTTTTCCTATTTAACATTAATCTACTTGAAAATTACAATATTTTAAAAAGTTGTGCAGGCTACATATGTAGACATTGACATTCTTAAATACCTTTGTTCTTTTCTTGTAGATCATTTGATGATGACTATGAAACAGATGAACTGTTATCTCTACCTGAAATTGGAGAAAAGTCAGACAAATTAGTTATATCAGATCTTTCACCATAAAATATATTGGACATATTTCATTAATGCCTGTGTCAGTACAGAATGGAAGAGTCTTCTGTTCTAAATTTCAGGAATTAATGTTATCTTTGAAGACACAACCAGCTTTTGAAACAGTACAACAGATTTTTTAAAAATGAATTACTTGCTTCTGCTCGATGATAACTTCCAAAACTTCAGCAGTGTGAGTGTAACTATGCAGAAATAAATGCAAAAACTAGCTGTAATCCAGCACACCTAGTAGACACCGGGTTGTGGGAAGAAAGGTTTACTGCAGCCAACAAAAAAGCACAAAAATGGTCAAACAGAAGCTATTTTTGCGAAAAACCCCAATACATAAAACAAATTCAGTAGATTCTTTGTACCTTGTTTCATGGATTATTCCCCTTCTTTTTCTGCTTAGAAACTTTGTCATCACGTTCCTCCTTATCCATCTGCATAATTATGGCAGATATTTCATAACTTTTTGATGGATTCACTAACTGTGGCGGTCTTTCCAAAAGTATTTCCAAATTAATTCTGGACTGTGTAATTTAAGTATTATAGAATAAGAACTAACAGGATGATTATTAATTAATATGGGGTTTCAACTGTCTATTTTGACCTGCCATAAAGTCTTTGTTGTTTTAGACTTATTCAAAAAAGAAAAGGACAGGCTATGTGGTTTTCTTTCCTGTTAGAAGGAACTTAGCTAATAGGGCTTTTCCACACAAACCATGTGATCCCTGGTTACATGTTTCACCTTAACGAAGGTTATAGTCCTATAGATCTCTGTGGAGAACAAGCAAATGATACTATTTCTTAAGATCACATAATCAAGTAGATGCTGAATAAGAGTAACTAATATTTCACCAAGAGGTAGCTGTTCATTGTACTATTCATTCAGCTGTCTTTAATTTTAAATTTTCCTAAAGTATTTCTGAAAAATAATTCCTTTAGTGCAGGTGTATATGGGAATTATGTGGTGCTTCAATTTAGGTAGACTGCATTTCCTGTGACTTCCTACGACTGGATAAAACTGATGGCAACTGCCACCTCTTAACATCCAAAGGCTACATGTTTCCCTTCCCTGTTATAGTAGTTCGTGAACAAGGGAATATACTGGTCCAAAATTTAAACAAAAAAATCCTTCCAAATAGCGACATTTGTTATACAGATGCAAAGTCTGCATAGAAAATAAGTGGATTCTTCCCTCTCTCAAAATTGCAACACTCGATCTTGCTTGTAGTTCTCATTTTTTAAAAAAGAAAGAAGGGTAAATTAGACTCCCCAGTTGAACAGATAGGAAACATACAATGGCATATTCAAATTTTTTTTAAAATGTCAAAGAACAGCCTAGGCATTAGAAAGGGAGGAGCATCACTGCATGACTTAGACCTCAAGTTTTACCAGTGGGCAATACTTGCATGGTAGAGTTCCACCAACTGAAGTTTGTTTAATCAAGCACATTTTCCCGATAATTGAAATGCCGTAGTTTGAAAGTTAGGAAGATGTAATACCTCCAAAACAGACATTGAAAAATTGTGACAACTTTAAATTACAAATAAGATATAATTGTATGTTATACAAAAACCCCAATGATCCTGAAAGGCCCTTTTATTGAACACTCTTGTAAACTCTTGCTACTTGATGAACTATATTTACAGTCGTCTGTAAACTCCCAATACTAAAATTTGTAAGAGTGTTAACTGTCCCAAATGATGTTGCATCACCTTTAAATGCCAGGAAATGGACAGGTTTGTAGTTAGATGTTCTTATTGGCATTTTATTTTTACTTGCATTTAGTTCAGGCAAAGCATATTTTAGGATTAACTACTGAATTCTTTGAAACCAATTGTGACTTCCATCCCAGGCCAGAAACATAATTAGAGCTGAGAACATATTAATGATTTGGATAAGTGATAGAGACAGCCTTTTAGTGTACGTACATTAAATCAGACTTCAGATGAATCTAAGTCCTAAAGCCCAAACAAAGTAAATTTGTTATGATCTCACTGCTGAGAGAAATGTGTGTTAGAAAACGTGGATACTTTGATAAATTAAAAATTTTCCATTTCCATTCATGAGCAATCTCTTTGAAGCTCCTTTAATAAGAATATTATTTGTGCTGGTGAATCAGTAGCAAATGTTTACTGTGTCCTAAAGAATCTTGCTTTCTTTTGAATAGCAGTCCTTTATGAATCCCATAACAAAGTCTGTTCAAATCATATTCATTATCTTGCAGTCACCTGTGAGAAATATACTACAGCAATGTCATAGACTTTTGAACTAAATAAAAGACAGCATAAACAATTTAACTTACCTTGTTGAAGAGGTAAAATTGCGTGCAAAGATGTTTCCAGAACCTATTCTTAGAGTCTCACCAGATAATATACTGATTCTATATCTAGAAGCAATGCACCCATAACAGGAAAAGGGCTGGTTACTTACCTGTGACTCTGTGAATTTACACACATGGATTTTTTGCCTGTACAGAGCACCCAAGCTCAACAGCCTTAAGACAAAAATTGTCCTCCCCTACTCCTAATATGCAAGTACTAATTGTCACTAATGGTCCCCTCAGTCCTGCCCACCAGTCAAGGAGCAAAAGAGAGCACTCCAGAACTTTATTCTACTTTCTGCTTTCTAAAAATAGTAAGTAGCCTACCTCCTTCTTTGTTCATAAGTTGTTTTATTCTTATTCCTCTCCACCCTGAAAAAATGTTAGTTTCTCTACAAGTTTATGCCTTCTGTTGATCTATTTAAAAGGTGTACTGTCTGCAGCACTAAAATACCTCACATAGACACTTGGGGTGTCTTTTTTGTTGTTGTTTAGCAGGTCATCAGCCACAGAGGTAATCAATTTGTAGGAGGTTTGTGAACATATTTTATTAAAGGGGAAGAAAAGCCGATCAACAATCAAACTTTACCTTTGGCAAAAATGGCTGAAGACAGAAATGGATTCTCTGGAGGAACAGTCAGAATAGACTCCAGGGCATTCTTAAACACACCAACAGGCAAAACTTCAGTTGTAGTCTCTGACAACTTTTGATGTCCTCCTTCACGATTGGAACAAGCTGGCTTGACAGAAGCTGAACACATTGAGGCCAAAGGAATTGGTTGCTTCACCTCTGAGGCTGACATAGCTTTTGGTGTCAGGAAGGCAGGACTCAAGGTAGCACTCTTCACTCTGTGGTTGTACAACTCAGCACTTTTGCTTGAGTGCAGGTGCTGGCAGTGACAATCACAGGAAGCCCTCAGTCCAACAAAGTTGTGTCCATTGGATCTGTTTCCGATTGGGAAGTGAGAGGCCTGTCAGAATCTGGGTCCCACCAGTCATTGCCTTCTTCTGAGAAGTTGCTTGGGGTCAGGATGTCTTCCTAAAACTTGACATTGGTGTTAAGTAGTGTTCTGTGCAGGCAAAAAAAAAACCATGTGTGCGAATCACAGAGACCATTAAAAAGACTTGCCTCAGTCTGCATATGACAAATTAAATTGGATTTATTTTTTGTTGCTGTTGTTTGGCTTGTTAGGAAATAACATAAACTGTTTGCATGTCTGATGTCTGAGGCATATACTGTAGCTCTGAGATACTTGCATATCTGCAGGGATAATACTGTAAGGCAAAGTACACATTTACCTTCATGTACACTCAGCTCTAGTACATACATAGTAGTGATCAGATTATATCTGAGGATCTGCCTTATCTAGAGTGTGATTCTTATTAGGGTGCAAGAGTTTTTTAACTTGTTTTTTTGATGAAGGGCATTCCTGACAGAATCCCTGCTAGACTAGAAAATTGGCTGTACTATTTCTAATGTAACTAATCTGTTATCCCGTTTAGGGGAACTGTTGTCGCACTGTGGCATGACACATCCTGCATGCAAAAAGTCTCAAGTTTCCATATAGGTCTTCTTTCTGAAACCCTGGAAAAAGGGTATCAGAGAGCAAATAATACTCAGCTAGATGGACCAATGATCTGACTTAGTACAAGGCTGCTAACATACATAGTGCCTTTTTCATACTACTTAGTAACTTCAGCAAAATACTAGATATTTGGAATTAACAAGATAATGAGCACAGGCTTTTTCAGTAAGACCCTGTGCCCATTTAGCAGGTTTCCTTTCCAGCATTTGCCCTTATTTTAGGAATACTACCCTGTTGTAATGTCTTCTATAATACTGTAATTAATTAATTTGCCTTTTAAATATTGGTAATGCATAGTCTGTCTCTAAACATTACTATATAGGTCTGACCTATAAGTACAGACAACTCTGAAACTTAAGCTGTTTACAAAGTAATTTTAGGAAACCTTAATTATAAATCACATGTTATTAATTTTGTTCACCTACATATTGTGTTTGTATGGATTAGGTGCATGGATCTTCCTTAAAGAAAGATATACTGTATAAATTTATGATTTTGGCACTACCAAACCTCAACTAAATTCTGTCTTTAAAGGAAAAAATGCTAAATTTTCTGCTCATTTCCCCAGTGTATTGGATTGTATATCAGCATTTACATCAGCTTTGCAGTTCAGTACTAAAAATCTGACATATGTTATCAGTACCTTTGATTACAGAAAGGTTTTCAGTGATGTGTCAGTTGATGCATATTACAGTGCAAGCAATAAGGGAGTGATAAAATACAGCCTCATTTTTAATAGAACTGGCACGTACATGCCTTCTTCATTCAACACATTATTTTGGCTTAAACTACTTGTTCCATTTTAGTTACTGATGTATTCCACATATATGAGTTGGGCTTTGAGCTTTTAAGTGCTTCTCTAGTTATGAATTATTTTGGTTACCATCATCTTCTTTATAAACGCACCACATAATCTGGATAAATCACCATTTTATATACAGGTTTTGCTTAAATGGTTCCAAAGCTTCGGAGGCTCCAAGGAGCTTTCCATGTAACTCTGAACCCAATGAAGAATACTGTAGTTCGTACTACTGATGGCCAAGACGTAAATAATTCAGTACACTCCTTTAGCCGCTCCTAAATTCTAAAATCAGTAATTATTAACCCTGCTGCCTTATCTTACTTTCCATCAAATAAATAGCAGAAGCCGTTATAAGCATCTCTTATTCTTGAAAGAAGTGAGGCAGAAGTGAAGATCATTTTAATAAATAATGGTATAACAGGTAATCTATTGGTCACCACTAATATTAGCACTAATTTGACTAGAAGTGAGATGCTGAGAAATTATATCAGATTATGGTGAGTGCTCTGCATTGTAATGTTTGTTGTCACAGGATATTTTATCCCACTTAATCTAACACTGCTCTTGCATAACTAAGTTAGTTATGCACCATAACTTAGTTAGGTTCCTTCTATTTTATTCCCAGTTCTGCTGTTCACCTCTAGTGCAACCTGTTGGATATTTCTATGCAAACCAAATACTTTAATTTTGGATGAAAATCTGTAGATTCTGAAATGTTTTTTATCTGCTCTTATGCTATATATCAGTTTTATTGTCTGAAGTATGGCAGTAACACCACCTACCTCATATGAAAGCAGTTAGGATAATTCAGTTTTGCTATACAGTATTGTAGAAATTCTTTTGAATGAAGGGCTTGAGCAATACTGTACTTTGTTATTAACCCATGCCCATTCATGCCCACTGCAGCAAAATCTGTCTTCCATTGGTTGAGGTGGGTATGAAAGAGACTTGGCTAGAAAAAAAAAAGAATTTACTATAATTATTGCCAAATTTTTACCCAGTGTTGACTTTTTCAAAATGAGTCTGCCTGCTAACAGAAATTTATACTTTATTTGAGCTGCCAGTAAGGGGCAGTATTGTGCAAAGGACATACAGCTGAGCTAAATTCCAACATCAGATGCATTGCTAGGAATTTTATTATTATTTTGTAGGATAAAACTTGACTATCCGAATTTAATGGAAGCTATTCAAAGACAGCTCCAAGAGCTTCTTGTGCTTAGCTTAAAATGTGCAGCCTTCAAAGACCAAAAAGACTATCCACAATGCCAAAAAAGGTGGGTTTAATATCTTTAAAGGCCACAGTGCTGTCTATGCAAAAGAATATTTTTAAAGAGCACAGAAACTATGAAAATGAAACAATTAGGAGCAATCCTTGTAACTAATGTTTATTCATGTATCTTAATGTGCCTCATTATTATTATTATTATTATTATTATGTGTTATGATTCGTTGGAATTCAAAGATGTAAAAAAAGATATGAAACCTGATCAAAGCAGTTTTCAAAGTTCACTTGTGTTGGTCAGGGCTTTACCATAGCTATTTACTTTGTATTTTTCTTTTTGTAATTAAATTTTTTTTTAAAAAATAGTGTTCCTCATTTTTCCCCTCAAGGCAAGAATTAATTTATTGTATCTCAATTTTTTTTAAATACAGTAAAAGAATAACCAGCTTTATATGTCACAGAAATTACCACCTCTTTTAATACTTTTGCAAAAGTAGGCTGCAGACTTTGATAGCTAGTGAATAATTAATAAGGATGATGATTTTAGAACTGAAGAGCTGAAAGGGACCCTATAGATCATCAAGACCAGTCCCTTTTAAGGAGGCCCAAAGCGGAATCAAACTCCCAACCTTTGGCTCTGCAGCCAGATGCCTAAACCACTGAGCTATCCAGTAGTTCTTGAAAGCTGGAATGGTATCTAGTTCTGCTTCCCATATTTCCTGTGCCTTATGCAGAAGAGTTATTTTTTATCTAGTTTGATATTATCAAACTAAAATACCTTTCACATTTCTAGAGATGCCCACTTATTAAGGAGATAGGCCCATTAAATAAATTGGGTTTCATTCTGACTTGTTATACTTTGAATAAACACACTGAGATCAATGGTTTAGAAATGTCTTATGGCAAAATTTTCATTGATTTTTATGGCTAAAAAGTCTAAGTTCTACCGATACTTGTTTGTAAGTAAATATGCATAAAGTGTACCATATATATCTTCCAACTGAATCAATTTCACTAATTCCTGCCTACTTAATTTTTGTTATCATCTTCTGTAAAACATATTTTAAAAAGGAAATTGTTAAAAAACACTTTTTCTGCAAGAGAAATAAAGACTGTATATTTTTCATTGTGTAGCATTATGCACAAATCCCAGCTATGCCTAGTGTGTAAGGATGGTTACATAATTCTCCATTTGATACATTTATTGCAATGAATGTAAGTCAGGAAAAGGTATCTAGAGAAATTCTACATCCAATAAAGCAAAAAATGGCCTCAGTCAGAAGGACTTTTGTGTTAAGAAACATGCACTGCACTTGGTTTGGATAAGTAATGCTTTGTTTATTTAAAATACTGCATTTCTTTAAAATAGGGACTTTCTCTGAACAGTCTGCTGTGCCCTTAGTACTCTTCAAATGGTGTCTACGTGCCAACCACTTTTTTATATTTTAAATGGTGGGGTAGAGAACAGAGAACACATGTGTGGTCCAAAATTAAGCCAAATTTTGTAGCTGATAGTTGTGCTCCTTCTGGGGTTCTGAGTGTTATCATAAGGGCTTTTATTATTATTCAAAAGGTCTAGTCCATCCAAGTGGTCAGCTGTCTTTTTTTAATTAACAACTTGGGATAAGGTAAGGGGTACAGAAGGTAAAGGGGGGAGAAAAAAGGGGAGAACATAAAATGTACTGACATCCAATCTATTCATGTTGCAATATCAAATCAACTTTCCGCTTTTCTACAATTTGATTGCCTTCCACACCAAGTGGTCAGCTGTCTTGATATAGTAAGGTGAATAGTTTCATACTGTCTCAAGAGAAATAAGACTTGCAGGCTACAGTACTTTCTAGGCTGGGTATTTCCTGGTTCTGTTTTTGGATGGTTAGGTAGCTTCAGAGGCTACATTTAACTTTTAACAAATTATGGTTGAAACTTTTTTGCATAACTGCAAGTTCACAATAGAAGCAGCAGTGTACTGCACCATAATGAAAACTGCATTAAGGAGGAAGTAATATTCAACTAGTTCCACAGTTGCATTACACTAGTTGTGCTGTGAATTGTCTGATC